AAGGCAGCACAAAATTTCTGAAATGATCAATAGGTATTTTTACACATATCAAACAGAGATAACAACATGCTTTTGGTGGTATATTTACCAATCTAAAGCTGGCCATACATGGGTCTTTTTTTTTTGTTCATCCAGCTGGGCAGATTTTCCCATGCACATCAAATGTGTAGATGGGGGAATCCTCCCCACTGCACTATTGTATTCTGGCAGTGGGGAGACCCCCTTGTCGTCAGAATACAGAAGGTATGTTAAGTGTTAAGTGTTTGGGACAGAATTTACAAGCAAAAAGGATGGAAATATAATTCTGTACTGATTCCTTTGATGGGTACGGAGTATTTTCCTCCAGGGAAGGATATAATTTGTGGTAAATGGATTAAAGATAAGAATGCACATTTAAAGGATATTTTGACTAAGGGGAAGTTACACACATATGACGAGTTAAGGGAAAAAAGCAATTTATTTTCCACATTCGATAAGTGGCAGTATGGGCAATTAGGACATTTTGTTTCATCGCTCCCTCATCTACTGAGGACCGAAGAGGATGATATGTACCCATCTGAAAAATTGTTGAATGTTAATACAGCTCCAAAACAAGCTACCTCTAGGATATATAAGATCCTCAAAGATATGGAGGGAGCGGATCCTCCCGAGTTCTTGGAAAAATGGGAAAGGAAATTAGGAACAAAATTGAAGGAGCAACAAAGGAATAAAATATTTAAATTAACACATGAGGTGACAAATATGAGCATAGTAGAAATGAACTATAAATGCTTGACGAGATGGTATATTACACAGAGTGTGACGCATAAGCAGCAAGCTGCTGTTTCACCTTTATGTTGGAGAGGCTGTGGGGAAAAGGGTACAATGGCACATATTTGGTGAGATTGCCTGAAAATACAAGAGTTTTTAAAGGAAATAATTCTTGATATTTAGTAAATTAGTGGGATTATTATACAAACAGACCCATGGATGTGTTTATTTTATTCTTAGCCTGTAAGCAAACAGTGCAAAAATAGGATACTATACCATCTAATCAACGTGGCCAAGGGCCTGATTACTAGGTTTTGGCAGGCTCTGGAGCCACCAAGAATAAATGATTGGTTAAACAGAGTGGAAAATATTTTTAGGATGGAGGAGCTGTGTCATGCAGAGGAAGATAAAATGGAAGAACTTAGGAAAACGTGGGGTTGTTGGTTAGAATTTAAAACATCTAAGAGATACTTGGAATTGGTAGGGAGTCGGGGGGGAGCCAAGAGAAAGTATGACAGAGAATTTGAAAGTGAAATTGGGCGTGAGAGGGAAAGAGACGCAGATAATGATAGATACATATAAGAGGAGTAAGACGTAAGTTAATCAGATCTGGACAGGGGTAATTTGGGAGGGGAGTTAGTAGGAAGAAGGGTGGGAGATAAGAAGTTGTAAAAGAGATTCATGCACTGGTGAATGTGAAGTATTGGGTTGTTGTATTTTTGTATTGGAAAATGTATTAAAAAAGATATAATAATAATAATAATAATAAACAACAGTAGATCTTTATGTGCATAAAAGCTCCAGGGCAGTGAACATTTGGAGATGTGCATCAGTGGCATAAAAGCATCTTGTACACTATATTGCCAAAAGAATTTGGACATCCCTCCAAATCATTGGATTCAGGTATTTCAATCACCTTCATGACCACAGGTGTATAAAATCAAGCACCTAGGCATGCAGACTTCTTCTACAAACATTTCTGAAAGAATGGGTCACTCTCAGGGGCTCACAGTCAACTGTTAGTGGTATTATAACGAAATGGAAGCAACTGGGAACAACAGAAACTCAGCCACGAAGTGGTAGGCCATGTAAAATAAGAGCGGGGTCAGCGTATGCTAAAGAGCACAGTGCGCAGAAGTTGCCAACTATCTGCAGAATCAATAGCTAAAGACCTCCAAACTTTGTGTGGCCTTCAGATTAGTACAACAACAGTGCGTAGAGAGCTTCATGGAATGGGTTTCCATGGCCAAGCAGCTGCATCCAAGCCTTACATCACCAAGTGCAAAGCAAAGCGTCGCATGCAGTGGTGTAAAGCACGCCACCACTGGACTCTAAAGCAGTGGAGACGTGTTCTCTGGAGTGATGAATCATGCTTGTCTGGCAATCCGATGGATGTGTCTGGGGGTTTGGTGGTTGCCAGGAGAGCAGTACTTGCCTGACTGCATTGAACCAAAGTGTAAAGTTTGGTGGAGGGGGGATTATGGTGTGGGGTTGTTTTTCAGAGGTTGGGCTTGGCTTCTTAGTTCCAGTGAAGGGAACTCTTAAGGCGTCAGCATACCAAGACATTTTGGACAATTTCATATTCCCAACTTTGTGGGAACAGTTTGGAGATGGCCCTTCCTGTTCCAACATGACTGCGCACCAATGCACAAAGCAAGGTCCATAAAGACATGGATGAGCGAGCCCTCTGGCCAGGTCCTCAGGCCATTAACTCTGACACACACAGCTCCTCTGGACATTAACTGTCTCTTGCAGACATTCATACTCTGGCTGCCACCTGCAGCCTGACTCCTGTAGGAGACCTTCTGTCTCTCTTGGGTGGAGCCCAGAGCCCTGGCCTTGACTCTAGAAGAGACCCACACACACCTACACAATCAGTCTCCTGGCCATTCCCAAACCCTGGCCCGAGGATTGGAGATTTCTTCCCACCCAGATCACTGTGAAATATCCAGGCTCCACATCCCAAAGAGATACATGGCAACATTGTCATATGATTTACTGTGTAAGCTGGAGGGAATTTTGCCTTTTTGATATTTGGTATATATTTTTCAATAAATATATTGTTTTTCAAGCTGCAGAATTATTTTCTTGAGGACTTCTTTTCCAGTGGGTCTTTTACCCACAAGGTTGTTTTTTTTTATCCAGAGTTTTACAAAGAACCAAGGAAACAGAAAACAAAGTTTTCTCCAGCTTAAACAAGCACCCTGGAGCCCTTCAACCTGCCTTGAGAATCCTGGGTGAAATATCCTTTTTACATCGTAACAGATCACCACACTGTCACACTTTGCTAAACGTTTTATGCAGTATTTTAATATTTATCTATGATGGCAGAACCGCACTTGTATCAAGTTTTACGGTAGAAGTCAGGGACTTGGAATATACCCCTTTTTAGCAATAAACAGGTGGTAGACAGCACTCCTAATCAGGAAACTCACAGGTTAAATGATGTCACCATGAGGTCACAAAATGTATTCTCACAAATCCCAATAACATCCTGTTTATAACGACAAAGCTTTGTGTGAATGCCGCTAATGGGCACGTATCCTAAATAGCACCAAGTAGCCCATTTAATCAGGCTAAAAATTCAACAGGGCCCATCAATTTCTCTAGTATGTTATTAAAATTCTTGCTTGTTAAGAATAATTAAAAGCCACAGTCTGTTTCCCCAGTGGATTTCATTCTCAGTTCAGATCGGATTTTTTATTCAGCAGCAATTTAGACGACTTAAAGGGGAAAAGAAGGTTATTCCCTAAATTAGATGAAATTTACTGTCCCTGTTAATTGGTGTTGTGCTGTATTGCTTTGTTATGTTTGCAGCTGTGAGAGAGGTCATGCTGGAGGCTCTAGCTTTTGTATCTAAGCAGCAATTTAGTTGGTTTAGCAAGTTGTATCTGTAATGTTGTTTGCTGTTTATATTCTGTTAAAAAGGAAATTCCCAGCTCTATGCCTCAGTTCCAGAATAAATATAATCAGTAAAGCTTTTGACACTGACATAATGCCATTAGTGACCCAGTGGATGATACAACAGTTGTGACTGGTGTGTCCCATTTACAGCTGTTTCCCCGGCAGGAGACCATTCCAGATGGCTACTGAAAACAACTGGTACCACAGCATCAGGGTTGATTGACTAGATGCAAATAGACTGTTCACTTTGCAAGTGAAGTTGCACTTTTCAAGGGAATTTCCCCAGAGTTTATTGAACTGGGTGAAGCACTGCTTACTTCCATCATCCAATCAAGTGCAACTAAAATGTTTTTTTTTTTTTAATCATTATTATTTTCCCTTCACGATTGAGTATTCTTTGCAAATTGAATTTTCATCTATTTTACCAAGCTCTGAAAATTCCCTTGCAAAGTACAATATCCCTTGAAAAGTGCAACTTCTCTTGCAAAGTGAGCAGCCTATTTACCTTTAGTAAATTAACCCCAAGGTTTGCATGAGGCTACAGGTGCCAATTTGTCTGGCAAGGTATATACAACAGCTAAAAAAAAAAAACTTGGCTATATTTATAAAGCTATCTGGGTCAGTAATCCTCTTGACCCTTCTATTCCTGAGACTTTTTGAAGAGGAATGGTCTTGGACCACACATAAAACACATTAACAATAAGGATAGCTGATTAGCAGAAGTCAAGCAGATCACAAGTTAACGATCACTGATATAGAGTACCTATCTGAGTAATAAAACTTCATTTTTTTGTCATTTTTTTTTTATATAAAAGAGGGCAATATAAAACTATTATTTGACACGGTTTTGAATAAACTAACGCATTAATATCTCGTTTGATGGATGTAGTAGCAATTCTCAATGAATTCTTAAGTTGCTCCTCATATATTTTGGTTATCATTTTGCCCTTTGTGTGCTTCATCCTTGAAAATAGTTGCTTACAAATATAGGCGCTACCAAAAACTGATGACATGAATAAGGCCTGATTGTGAAGAGTGGGAGCTTTTTCTTTGGGAAGATAAAGCTTATAAAAGTCCAGAAAAGAGACAGAGTCAGATTTTTCTTTGACTGCATGTGTTCGCAAAGTGTAAAAGCATTTTTACAAAAAACTTTTTCTAAAAAAACCAACATTTTTAAGTTTATGATTTTGTGTGGGCTGCAGGTTGGACACCCCTGCCTTTGTTTTCTGAGCACCATAATGAGTACAGATGACCATGAGGTTAAAAAGAATCCAGATTAAGCTACAGTGCTTACTAAACCAGTTCTTGTGCATTTCTACCTTATAGCATCCAATTAGCTAGATAGAGACACATCATCTTGTAATTTCCCAGGTCATGGGCAGGGGCGGACTGACCATTTGGAAACTTGGGCACTGCCCGAGGGCCCGGGGTCAGTAGGGGTCCCCATGAGATGCCCCTGGTATCTTTTTCATAGGCTTTTTTGAGTTTGGGCAAGGAAACAGGGGCCCCATGAGTTGTCAGTCCACCCCTGGTCATGGGTAACGGTAACAATCACTTATAGAAGATTTGAACGTTGGATCGACAGTCACTTTACTCATGACTGGGTCCCTATTCATGATGTACCTAGGAAGCTTCCTTACACTATACGTATAAAACAAATTGAGGCTCTAAAAGTGAGGTGGTATCCAGACTATGCACACTAAAAAAAAGCCCCAAATATCCAAAAGCATACAGAACTCTACCATGCCTCTAAATGTGAAGCTGGACACAATGGAGGAGCTACTAAACCAGAGTGTGGTACACTGAGCTGCTGGCAGCTTTAGGTGTCTTGGTCTGAATGGGTGACTAGGTTTTTCTGGTCAGTTGCAGAAGTCAAGATTTTTTCATGTCATGTTCATGCACCTATTCATTTGTGAATTTTCAGCATTTTGATACAAACCACAGCTTCAGTGTCCTCTGTGACTCTATAGCTCATGAAAAGTTAGAAGTTCAGAGATCCTGACAACCCTAAACGAGGTGCTTCAAATGATATAAGATGGTACACATAGGGGCCACTGCTATAACCAAGGGCTGTATGCACTGAGGGGGAGAAGATTCTAAAAGCAGGCTTTTTTTTTATGAGTTGTTGTTAATGCAAATGCACATTTATGTCTTAGAGCCTCATTGCTTCCAAGCTCTCAAACAGGTTTACTCCACTGTGGGCACGGCAAGTGCCGATCACTGGTGCCCATTCTCACTCAGTCTAGAAGCCATACTTGAACAAAAAGGCCACAATCCAATAAGCCACTTCCTCCAGCGAACTTTATTGAACAAAACAGTACATCTTGCATGCCTCCTTCCCTAGACAGCCCTTTTAATGTGTTTCACCCTATTGGCCTGGAAAAGAGGAAGGGTGATCTCCCCTGAGCCACCTGTATTCCTACTACATAGCCTGATAGAGTGAAACACACTAGATGGGCAATGTACTGCTTCATTCAATAAAGTTTGCTGGAGGAAGTGATATACCAGAATGCAGCCTTTTTTTTTTTTTTTTTTTTTAGACAATATGTTCCCTAAATACATCAGCACAAAAAAAAATTGGGAGATTTTGTTATAGGTTTTATTGGGTATGTATAGATGTGTGTTAAGGGGGTGTAGGGTCACTCTTTGTTCTTGGATTTAGTTTCTCCGTAAACTTTTATTTTTAGAAAACATGCCCAAATTACCAAGTCCTACCCTGCACGTTTAGCAATAAAGTTACAATAACCCTTCCTAAATATGGCTCATTTTACCTTTAATCACTTAAGTGCTTTTTAATTGGAGAGATGAGATACGCTTGCTTATAATACAAAATGACTTATCTTCTATTTTTTTTGTTCCATGTGTATTTAAGCTTCCACATTTACAAATTAAGTCAGTTAGGTTTCTGAAACACGGTTGTAGACATCCATAGATCCACAGGACCATGACAAATGGAATGAATTTTAATGGCACAACAAATCAGAGCTGATTATGAGTAATTCTGCTAAAGTACAAATTGCTCGCATGCCGCAACTTCTGCTTTGTGCTAGGGTTAAAAGAGTTTAGCTAAACTGTTTTGCCATGGCATGAATGGTCATATAGGCGGATATAAAGCCATAGCCCCAGCTATATGATATATATGTCATCTGTCACAGAGAGAGAATACTATGGAATGAAAGCCATAGAGTGAAGAGTTGCTAATGTAGGAGGGCAGCTGCACTGTGAGATAGCAGTTCTGTGAATGCAAAGCCATAAACAGTCTTGGCAGAAGAGAAGGGAAGCAGTTTTCACCAGAATAGTCTGTAATTTGGGACTGTGTAACCCCATTAACCATATGGCATAGAGTGTGCCAGAGCTCAAGCATACGTTGTGCAGGTAATGAGAGGAACAGGACTCGAAGCATATGCTGAACATGAGGACTGAGTAACATAACATCTAGGCATGTATGAGTGAGCTAATCAAACTAGGATAAACAATGCAGGCCCCAGCTTATACACAGTCATATCTCTTTAACTTTCAAAAAAGGGATAAAAAGTGTATTTGACTAGGGTCAACTAATAGTGTGATTACATGGGGCTTCAGAAAAGGTTTACGAAACACTTCAACAAAAATACAGCAATTATGAAGATTATTGCCCAGTTACTCATAGCTATGATGAAGACATATTTTACTATGACCATGCCATAGTTCAGCCATTTAGATCATAAAAAAAACAAAACAAAACAAAAAAATTAAAACTGCCATTTACAATTGGAAGTAATAATATATTTTTTGAACATGCAAAATGTATTGTTTTGTACAGAAAAACCGCAAACAACCAGGGGCGGACTGACCATTTGAGCACTGCACGAGGGCCCAGGGTCAGTAGGAGGCCCCATGAAATGCCCCTGGTACCTTTTTAATAGGCTTTTTTGAGTGTGGGCAAGGACACAGGGGCCCCATGATCCCCTATTGCCCGGGGGCCCCATGAGTTGTCAGTCCGCCCCTGCAAACAACGTACAATTTGACACTTGTACAGAGAAGTGAAGCAAAGTAAAAAGGTAAGTTACATAGGGTCAATCATCAATACAAGCTGTCATGGTTCACCTCACATGCCCACAGCGACTAGCTATCCGAGGCGCGCACGTGCGGCCGTGACTTGGGATAAGAGGGAATAAAGGGGACTTAACTCCTAATATATAAATCCGGCCATGATACGCTTTCACAGCCCGCACTACCTCTTGGCCACCACTGGAGGGAGACTCCACTCCAATCCAGCCGGCCGACCACACACGGGCAGACACAAATCTTATATACAATCTGGTACACTAATTAGAGTTGAGGAGCAGCCTAGCAATCGCACACCCTTCTAGGGTTCCTCCAGCTATCCTCCAAGCTAGAACCCCGGTATTAATCACTCTTCCACTGTCCACACCCCCCCACACCAAACACACCACAAACGGTAGCTTGCCACCACCCAACAGTTTTACTGGCCTGCTGGGTCACCACACACACACAGATCTCCGTCTGGCAGACCTGTCACCCTTATAATCTGCACGCAATCTGCCAACACGCAGTGCAATTGCATACAGATTGGCAATGAACTTGACAGAGCAAATAAAGACACTAAAATACAATACAATCTAATCTCTCTGGAGATATGAGCTCGCTTAAGTACACATAAGTCACTTATTAATTTTATGATTTAATATCCCAAAGTGGGCAGTGCATAAAATATGTAAAAAGTATAAAAAGTTACAGAAAACACAAAGAAATACAAGAAGACACACAATTGGCTATTGACTTTAAAATAAAAGGGAATAAAAAACAGAAATAAAACTTTTATCAAGATTTATCCTGCGACTGGAGCAAGTCAGAGAGAGTCTGCGATCCGTCAGTCAATAAGGACGTGCTCCATACAAATCACAATGTCCATACCTCAAGTCCTCAATTTATGGGAATATGGACGTAGGCTGGACATGAGTCCTTGGCCAATCAACCCTGGGGGGTATTCCCGTACAAGCCCAAATGACGTTCTGGGTGCTGAAATGCCCAAAGTCGATTGGACCAGGAACGGTTTGAATCACCAAGTCAGGGGTTGAATTTCCGACACCAGCGCATCAGTCCGATTGCGACTGTACCAATCACTGTTCAGCTGTCGCAATCCGGTGCCACATAACCATTTCCTGCATTTTTCTGGCATTCTACATAGGCCACAAATACTTTTTTTACATGCAGATGTAGTCCACAGAGTGCCCAATCAGAAGGAAGTATTTTCATCTCTCTGCAACTAATATTTTAGCTTTTATGAGAGATAAAATCTATTCCTTTGATCTGTGTCTATACTTTAAAGCTCCCCAGACATATCGTTGCCCCCCTGGTGTCATGAAGCCGAAACGTCTGCTTTCCTCTTTTAAACTTCAGGAAGGCGGGAAAGTCTGATTGTGATATATATATATATATATATATATATATATATATATATATATATAGACAAATCTTATTGGCACTTAGGTGTCACTTCCAGTCTGGAAGCTGCTCTGTCTTTTCAGATGCTAATGGATGAGCACGTCTCTGAATGCCTATGACTGAATATTTCTTTAATAACAAGGATTGCAACTAAATTTACAATTACATATTGCTACTGATCACATCTCAGTCCAATCACTTGAATCCCACATCTATGTTTCACAAGTGTAGCCAGGTGCTGGGCTACAGCAATATGGAGAGAGACATTGCCTTTTATTCTTCTCTCCTTCCACCAAGATACTGATGGTATGCTACACCATTCTTATCCAGCCAGAAGGGGGAGAGTTAAAAGCCAAGCAAGCCCATAGACTACTGTCCAGAGCACTGAGAATCCTGGGAGCTGGTAGTTTGAGATGGCAGCCATATATGGAGGCCAATGGAGTATTTACACTACAGACCCTAATAAGCACCATGCACTAGAAGGAATGGAGAGATGACTTTTATTAAACTGCAAGCAAAACATTCTTCCTCTTGGTGCACAGGAGTTGGGGAGAGAGTGAAGATTCAAGCCGGACACTGGTAGTGAGGACACCTGGGGGAAGTGCAGCATCTCCCACATCAAAGCACCTGCACCACTGCTGAAGGGAGACTGCAGCGTTTCTTCACCTTCTGCTTCCCACTGCTGATCACCAGAGGCCTTCAGGGAGAGCCCGAAGGAGCCCCCTTTCTTCAGCAAGAGGTCACCACTGAATCCTGGGGACTGGTGTGAAGGCTGTTTGCCCTTTGCTGATACTGCTAGCAGGCACTGAGCCACTGAGATCAGGACACCAAATGTACCCAATACATACCACACCCATACCGCACTATATACTGCACTTATTCCAAACCCAGACTGCAACTATCCCAAACCTTTACCACACCTGGGCCAAGACTAAACAGTACCTGTATTGTATGCAGGTTAACTGTGAGTGTCGTTAAGTGCACCAATGCTCTTAAAGGGCCCCAATGATAGACAGCAGAAGAACATTTCAAATGACTGCCCCTCCCGTAATAATTATTCTGCAAGTCCGTTTTGTTACCCTGCCCCTTCCCCCCCTCCTATACCATCCTCCTTTTCTTTTGGACACTGCATACACAGTTGGCCATTTCTGGCATAATACACTGAATAAAAGAGTCTCTGATGGTTAGAGGCATTAATGTTATCCCAAATTTGCTAAAAGGCATGACTGAAAGGGACGATTTCCAGCCTCAGACCCCCTACCTCATTGATGGTATCTGTTACCCCTCACCAAAAATATTGTAGGTGAGGGATAGGCACACACCATATGAACCAAGGATCCAGGCCACATTTAGCATCTATATCATTCAACTATAGTATTGGGATAGATAACAGAGAATCATAATGGAGCCTACCTAATAGGCTCTCTGTAGATAGATTCAGTTATATGGGCCTCTTTATAATGAAGTTCATAAGAGGAAGAAAAAGAAAACACAATTATACATGTCAATGATCAAGTAATAGAAACAAATATATACATCAAAAATACAAACTTGCAGCCTGAATACTTGGATAATATCACAGGAACTCCAATGGATTCAATAAGTGACTAACAAGAGTGTATAGTATGTTAGAACCAGGGCTTTTTTTTTTTTAGCGAGAATGTGGGGGAATGCAGTTCTGGCACCTCCAGCATGTATGTAATGGCAAGAGGTGCTGGAGGATCTAGTGTTGCCAAGAGGTCAATTGGTGCTGGGAGGGATCTACTGTTGAGGGAGGGGTCTATTGTCATTGGCTGCTGGATGCTCTATTGATGCTGGCTGCTGGGAGATCTATTGTTGAAAGTGGAGTGTATTGTTGCTGGCTGCAGGGAATCAGTTTTACAGCTTATCATGAAAAAATTCCATACAAATTACTAACAAATTACACCAAAAAATGGTACTTGGTTCTGTATTCTTTAAAATAGGCCTTACTGGAAGGTAGACAGGTGGTAGAACCAAATGATGGTGCTTGGAGGTGGGAAGGGGGGCGGAGATAAGGGGTGACTCATAAAGGTCATATAGAGTTCCTGCTCCTATTCTCTGAGGGAAAAAAGCCCACGTTAGAACTATTTTTTTATATATATTTCTTTTTAGTCAAGTAAAAATTAAGTATTGCATATACAGTACAAATGTCATATTTACTATTTTTAAGCCAGCAAGTATGTAGGGAGTCTTGAATGCCATGTTTTACAAAGCTGATTTACTGCTGTGCTGAGAATACAGACCTGACAGTAGGAGCGGCAATTGGACATTTTTTATTGGTGCCCACACTGAAGCATCCCATATTGTATAAAATCTGCATTTTACAAAATAAAGCATAGAACTTGGCAAAAAAAAATATTAAAAGACTATGTCTTCCTATTAAGTCAGCTATTATCATAGGATACAATTTTGTTTGATGCTTGAAACTTCAACAGTTTTGTTTTCAGTGAGATGCTTAAACCCATTACAATCCACTTTGTGTGACCTGTCTGAAGAACATTTTTCTTTGTCGCCGTTGACCTTGATTTAAGGAGTGTCAGCATCTACTGATAAGCTCATAGTATACAAGTATTCAGGTGTATCAAGCCAAGGAAGATTATTTTGCAGTCAGATTGTAATGTCCAGCTGCCCTCCAATGTTTATGGCGACCTCTAGAAATGAAGCAAGATGATGTATTACCAGATGACAAAGAATTTCTAGCCCCAATATCCCTGACAGCAGCCTTCCTATTTGCAGTAGCTTAACCAAGGTGAATTGGGTAAATCCTTAATGGAAAAGTATCAAACGTGAGTAGGAAACGGAGTGATATCCTTTATTTGGATTGTTTGCCGAGATTGCTGGCCTTTTCTCTTGCTCTTTGATATCAATCTTACAATATACTATATGTTATCAGTCAAGCTTTTTAAAACATGCTCCAGTGTTAATTGACATTTAAGCAGTTGAAGTGCAGCACCAGTAAATAACCTTAAAGAGGTTGTAAAGGCTGAAGGTTTTCTTTATCTTCATGCATTCTATGCATGAAGGTAAAAATATTCCATGTGTGTACCAGCCCCCTCACTACTTACCTGAGCCTCATCGCAATCCAGTGATGTGAATGACAGCCTCGGCTGTCATGGGTCTCTGCCTCCTCATTGGCTGAGACAGCAAGCGGGAGCCATTGGCTCCCACTGCTGCCAACCACAGCCAGTCAATCAATAAGGAGAGGGCGCGGGGCCAAGCTGCGGCTGTGTGTGTGAATGGACACAGGAAGCAGCGGGTGCCCCCATAGCAAGCTGCCCTAGAGATGGGAGGAGCTTGGAGAGCCTGAGGAGGGCCCAAGAAGAGGAGGATTCAGGCTGCTCTGTGCAAAACCACTGCACACAACAGGTAGGTATTATGTTTGTTATTTTACAAAAAAAAAAACCTTTAGAATTGATTTAAATGATACAAAGGTGTCACATTTTCAGAGTTAAAAAAAAAAATAGGTATCACTGCTATTATGAATGAAAATTAATCTCTGTGTAGTAGTAGTAGTAGAGTATAGTAGCTGTAGACATGGCTTCT